GTTTTTTGGTTTGAGTATATTGGCCGCTCTCTTCATAGCTGTGGTAGTCTTAACTGTCTCTTCTAGTTTTGAATACAAGAATTCTGTTCGTTTATTATCTTTTAGGTTGAGTTGCAAAGCCTTATCTAGGAACGGTGAGATAAGTCTCTTTCTTATATTAGTGTATTGACAGTGTAGATTGGATAGTAGCCGGGCACTCTCTCCAAGCATCTTTATAATCTTAATCTTGTCATAATCTTTCTTGGTCATGTCATGTATTGTCTGACAAATAGTGCCTATAGCTAGGCCTAAATCTTGTTGTCTTGCTACCATGAGGGTGTCTCTGGTTCTGGTCGCCTGATTAATAAGTCCAATTATCTCCGTGTTAAGCTTTGGTGCATCAAGTAATTTTGCATTACCTGGTATGAGTGCAGACTTGTTTATGGTCTCCCTCTGTTCCTTTGTCAGCCCCTCCGTTAAAATGTTTTCAATAATCTTCAATATGCTAGGATGTATGTCATCACCATATTCCTTTTGAGTGCCAATCACCTCACCTAAGGCCGAAACTATATCACTGGATAGCTCCATATCCTCTTCTTCATCTATTATAATAGAATCCACCACTGGCTCAACTTCTTGCTCCTCAGCATGAACTTGATCCATTTGTTCGTTGAAAGAATTAGACTCTTCACTTTGTTGCTCTGGTTCTTGTGCTAAAGCAAAAATTATGGAATAGTTATCCAACTGACCACAATGGTACCTAGTAGGTACCTAACCCACCCCAACCGTTCAGAGAAAGTGTTTGTATATATAGTCTATCATAACAGAAATTATTTGCTTGGGTAATCATGTTATACAACTAAAACAACGGTTATGAGTGGGTATTTATACTGTGTATTTGATACTGGTAATTCCTTTCTTTTAGTCAAACTCTATAGAGTTTACTATAGTATTGTATGTATTTAACTCATTATAGGAAAGGAAATACCCGGGATTACTCTTGAATATTTCACATTCAGCCTCAAGAGATAGGTGTTTAGTGCGAAAAACCCTCTCAACGAGAGGTTGGTAAAATGTAACACAAATTACCCTTGGCTAACGGTCGTGTTGGAAGCCTGTTATTTTAGACAATCCAGAGCATAACCTTCTCAACGAGAAGGAGGCAAATGTAACACATTATGCCGTTATTTTCGTCCTACAGTCCTACCTACAGGACAAGGACATGTGCTCGATCTTGATAGTGATAGGTACTCAAGTATTGAAGGTTTAAAAACCGTAAAAACGGTGTGAGTACTAACTTCTCAACGAGAAGTAGGTAAAATGTAACACATAATACCATAATAGTCTGTAATTGTACAGTTTTTTATTGAAATATACTTACGATCAAGCTCCGCCATCTTGGCTTTGTATTTTTCAATCTTCTTTGCCAATTTCCTTCTTTTCTTATTTTCCTTGTATTCTTTATCTTCCCTGTTACGTTTTGGCATATTTGGTTAAAAATAAACACTTCAAATTAAATAATATGTTATTTTCTATTAACCATTAATCATTTATTACTTTACTCTTTGCCATTAATTTTTACGATGCGTCTTGCGAGCGCGAAGAAAACGAATGACAAAGCATAGCAGTGTTGCCAGGTGCCGCTTTTATTTTTCTTCTAAATCTAAAAAATCGCGTCGAAGAGCAACAGAAGGCGGCTGCTGCTAGTATATATTATATAAGGTATATAATATATACCTCGGACTAATTTCGAATATAATATGATACTAAATAATGCCGCAGTATAACCTTAGTGGGGCCGGGGCCTTAGATAATGCTGTAATTTGAAATCCGATATTTTAATTGTCATCACATACGTCTGTTCTGTTTCATTGTTGATGTATTTTTTATATAGACCGACACAAGCTTCGCCTGTCCATAAACGAGGAGCCGACAACATGTGGAGGTGTGTAGTACTGCTGTCTGTCTCTTATTTGGGGCTAACTGAGAGTCTGAGTAGTTATTCGTTTCAGTTTAACTTATCTCAACCATTACCACGAGAAAATGATATGGGTAAGTCGTTCAATAGTTTATAAAATCATTTATTTAGGTGCACATTCGGCGGGGATTGTGGATCAAGCGCAGTAAGGCACCGCGGCTTCGGCCTGGGTTAGATGATTTTCCCCCATTAAATAAGTGTGGCAGAGCATCGGCACGAATGGGTCGGCTGTCATGTTTCGACCACAGCGCTGTGTTTCTAAGTGAGGTTACCGGAGACCCAATCTCTCCCCCTACTCCACCCCTGCCCAATCCTTAAATTTCCGAAAACGACTGGGGTCGACCAGAACTAGACACTAGCATGCGAGCGCCTTAAAGAGTCACCAGATCATCACAGATCACACAGTGGGGGGCGATAATGTGCCGGAGCCAAGCAATTCACTTTGACCCACCACCAGAACCCAGACTAGAAAATTATCTAAACATTTCTAAGCAATAACTGTCACCAAATTTTTTTACATCGTAGTGGTTTCTATGGTTCTTTGTAAGGCCTGTTCAAATGGTTTTTTATGGTAAAGCTCGGCAAATGAGGAGGAACACTGAAGAATACTTGACGATAGTTGACATGGACACCGGTAAAATTGAGAAGTTACAGGTGCGATGCTGACATTTTATAAGCTAGGGATTTGGGGATCTGAAGATGGGGGAACTATAGTGGAGAGAAATTTCTCTTCAATAACCTTATTATACCACTTATACAGCGAAACACAACGCGAGAATTGTTTCTGGTCGCTTTTCTGTAAGGCCGTGGTCGAGCTGGTCGAGCCGTGCCATTCCGCAAAACATGGCTCTCCCACATTTAATAGATTAAGATAGGCGTCATAACTTTTACCAATATGGCGTAAATACGCACTAATACACGCAACATTCATCAACTGATAGATGCTAAGTATCATTAATACTAATATTAATTGTGTGATTATCTATAGATATCAATTTGATAGATACAAAGTATAGATAGGTACAGACAAGACATCTACTGGTAAAAATTATTGATAGCAATGACATCATTTCATTCATTTAAGTATATAGTTTATATTAAACTAGTGACGAGCCCCGGCTTCGCTCGGGTGCAATGCCGATACTAAATCTCTTTATTGGATGTTATTATACATACATACATATAAATTAATCTAGGTTTTTTTTGTGAGGGGAAAATCATCAAATGACTTCTCCCGCCCAGGGCCGGGCAGGAGGGAGTGTCAGACTCTTACTGACTAAAAACCCCCCTGTTCCTTCTCCTGCTCTATGTCGAGGTCGCGGTGCCTCATTGCGCTTACCCCGCAACCCCGGCTGAACATCAGTCCTTTAGGGCCCCGTCTGTGGTGGTCTAATGGCTCTTTGAGGCGCGCGCGGAAAAATAAATCTAGGTACCTCTTCAATTATTCCATCTATAAAAAAGCGAGGTAAGCGCAATGAGTCACCCCGGCCTCGGCCCAAAACAGGAGAAGGAACGGGGAGTTTTAGTCAGTAAGATTTTGACACTTTCTCTCGCCTTACCCTGGGCGGGAGAAGTCATTTGATGATTTTGCCCTGACAGGCCCTGACAAAAAAATACAAAAAACTTGTCGCGTAGTTAAAAATTTGTCGCGTAGTTTTGAAGATTTAAGGGTACATAGGCATATAGATACAAAGTTTGATTTTTGTGCTATGTAGTGATGATTCAATACCCATTTTCCACAACTTGAAATATGAAGATTTTATAATAGCCATTTGCCATGGCGCCAGTGACCCAAATGCGAAGATTTTTCAAAAAAATATATCGGTAGCAAAAAACCCAATGACTTGAAAAACCCAAAAATATCACTGCTATGTACCTACTATCAATGTTGATAATCAAAATTAACCTTAATTCGAAGCTTATTATCTACCCACGTATGTACATCATAATAAGTAATATTAGGATTTGTTTGTCGATCAGAATCCTTTATCTATAACTCAAGAACGGCTAAGCTGATTTCGTTGAGAATTTGTAGGAATGTAGTTTAGAAACGGAAAAAGAACATAGGATAGTGTAGGTCGGGCAGAGTAGGTAGTGTACAATGGGTAGGTAGGGAAGGTAGGGTAGGAAGAGTGGGTAGGGTATGTAGGGTACGTAGGGTACGTACTCAAATGTAGGTAATCAAAATCAAACAGCGGGAGCCGAAACCGCAGGTAAAAGCTAGTTAATTAAATATTCAAGTTCCCTAAAATACATATTGGAGTAATGCAAAAGGCTTGCAATGCATTTGCAACGTTTCTAGAGCTATATTCCTTTGCAGCCATATTCCATAAAAAAGTAAAACTGAGAAAAATACTCTAGTTACCAATGCTCAATTAATATCTTCTGATTGATTCTGTTGCAAGTCCAAGACAGTCAGCCATGTCCCTGGGACGGGTTGGATTTCGGTGTTCGGTGTTTTCATCGTTAATTCGACTATTGGAAGGTTGTGGCGGCTGTATCCCAAAAAGGATACCATTATCTATCTGTAATTCACATATGTACATATAAAAAAAAAACGAAATTAGCTTACCTATTTTTGATTGTGGTCTTCAACACTCAATAATAGGCGTTGTGGTGCCGCACGTGCTTCCGCACGAATGGGTCGGCTCAACCGGAGTGATACCACGGCCTCACAGGAAACCGGCGTGATGCAACCACATTGTGTTTCGCCGTATGAGTGAGGTTACACAATACAAATCCAACCCCGCCCCCAATCCCAAAATCTCCCAATCCTTAATCCCCAAAAGGTCAGCAACGCACTCGTAACTCCTCCGTTGTTGTGGCTCTCCATAGGCGGCGCTGATTGCTTACAATCAGGTTATCCATTTGCTCGTTTGCCAACCTATCACATAAAAAAACCTAGTAAGTTATCTCTACTAGACTAAAGTAATAATTTACAACCTTGCTTCTTACGGTCTTGTGACGACGTAAACTTTGATGACGTTAGAATCAAGAAATCTCAGTATTAGAACAGGTTTTATGAACAAACACAAGCCCCACTCGTCAATACACGAGAAGCCGGCAACATGTGGTGGTGTGCAGTACTGTCTGTCTGTTGCGTGAGCCTAGCAATGGCTCAACTGGGACTAATAGACGATTTTGATCCATATTCAAATCACGAAGGTAAGTTTTTGCAATGAATCTTTTTATACCATCATTTTGGTTGCTCAGTGTCACTCAGGACTCGTGAATGTGAATCCAAAAAATCAAGAGGTTTTCAACATTAAGAAGAACAAACATGGTAAACTGCGCTAACTTTGAAAAAACAATACCGTACCTACTGAGACCGATTTCATATATAGCATAAATTGTGGGTCCCATTATGATATTTTTTGTTAATTTGTTTGGCAAAAATTTTCAGCTTGTGGTCCGAACGAATATTTCGAATATTGTACACATGATTGCCCCCCAGAGAAGACCTGTGAAACCCGCAAAATTGGAATAAGTTGTCTGGATGTTATAACACCTTGTATCCCAAAATGTATATGTAAAGAGGGTTTTTATAGAAAGAGTCCTGGCGGTGAATGTATTTCAGAAGAAGAATGCGGTAAGTTTTACTTAAAAAAACTATATAAATATCTGCAATATTTTATATATGGCCTAAAGATAATAATTTGCTTACACTAGACATTCAAAATAGGAAAGTGAAATAAATACATCAGTTATAGTTTGGTTACAACTAGGTATTGAAGGCCGGTACGCTACTTTTATTGATTTAATATTCAAAAATGTAAAAATAACAAAATATGTGTCATAGGTACAGGTGTTTTTAAGATAGTATAAACATACAGACATTAAACATAGACGCATGTGGACTACAAAATGGTATAATATTGTGCTATTCGACAAAATATTTGTACCTACTTGTTTATTGAATGACGCAAGAAGTAAGCATGCGAATTGTACTGACCTTGAATTTTGTATGTTTATACTTTTTTATGTGATATAACGAGCATACGGATTACCTGATGGTAAGCAGTCGCCGCTGCTCATGGACCCCCGCACCAGAAGAATTATTAGAGAGATCAGGGTTTTAAAAATTTTGGGAATTGGTAGGGAAAGGATTGGGCTTGAACCTCACTCACACGGCGAAACAACGCTGTAGCTGTCTCCAGTGTGCCAGTTTTTGCGAGGCCGTGATACCACTCCAGTCGAGCCGACGCATTCGTCCGAAGCTTGGCTCTCCCACACTTAAACTTAATTATTGTAGCTATAAACACATATGTATTTCTAGGACCGGCTTGTGGTGAAGGCGAGGAATATAAAGACTGCAGAAACCCTTGTGTGGATGAGAGCTGTGATGCAATGGGGAGTCTGATACCGAACTGTACAATTCCTGAGCCCTGCGAACCAGGATGCGCTTGCAAAGAAGGATTCTACAAGCTGTACAATTTTATATGTGTACCAAAATGCTATTGTCGTCAGTTGAGGGACACACCAGAATGTAAAGATTAAATCAAATGAAATTTTTGTTGTGATAATGATCTTAGGAATTTAATAAAAATTTTGACCACGTTTGGAGCTAAACTAAACTAAAATTGGTGCATTCCAATGTGTTGAATGTTTGTTAATTTAATTGAACGTTGTATTTTTAACTTCAACTTACTTATTTCAATAAATATCGGGAATTTCATGTGTTCATTTTTATTGTTCCGTTTCTTTCTAGTTTATGTTACTTAGTGGTATGGTTGTTAAACCATTGATTGTCCAGGTTCATTAGTCTATTAATAAGACCCTGCTGTTTGCCGTCTCTCTATTATTTGTCACGAGGCTGTATTTAGTATGACAAGTGAGGCAATTTGTGTGTGTCAACCAGTCACATGATCGATGTCCTAAAATTGAGGTCCCGGTACCAGACCCTGTGGAACACCGAGCAAAATACTATTTTCATTAAATTAGGATTACAGTATAAAAAATAAAAAGATCAAAACAAAATGAAGACTTTCACATTTCTATATTATATGTGCACTTTATAAATACTCGCATTATGTTGTGTCTGTTCACACTTTGACTGTCACCCTGTTTTCATTTCCCCTTTTAAATAAGGAACTTTCTAATGTTAAACCAAGAGGCAAAAAGTACGTATACATATACAATTTTGCAAACAATTAATTTATTGTGTGTTCTTATCAAATTATTGACTTATGACGTGGGTACGAAGATTGGTATATAAACAGACACAAGCCCCAACCTTCAACATACGAATAGCCGACAACATGTGGAAGTGTGCATTACTGCTGTCTGTCTGTTATCTGGGCCTGGCTGCGGCTCAGGAATTATCTGAAGACGTCAATCCATCTCATTATCCACATGGTGCGTTTTTGAAACTCCACTCTTACTTAATCTGTCTTTATGTTTTACATACTATTATACCTAAGGTATAATTACATGTTACATTATGGTACATATAAAAACAAAGACGTAATGAATAAAGAAGTAATGTGCGTTGCCGGCCTTTTAAGAAGGAGTACGCTCGTTTCTTGAAGGTTTGAAGGTCGTATCGGTTCGGGAATACCGCCGCCGGAAGATCATTCCAAAGCTTTGCTGTGCGGGGCAAAAAGTTACGCGAGAATCGCACAGTTGTTGACTGCCAACCATCTATGTGATGGGGATGAACATGTTTTCGCGTGGAACGATAGCGAAAAGATGCGGCGGGGATCAAACCGAACAATTCCTCAGAACACTCCCCGTGATAAAGGCGATAGAGAATACATAGCGAGGCTACATCCCTACGCAGTGCCAAAGAGTCCAGCCGGTCGGAGACAACAGGGCAGTCAACGATTCGGACAGCTCGTCGTTGAATGCGGTCCAGAGGGAGAAGAAGCTGGTACTGGGGTGCCCCCGCCCAAAGATGAGAACAGTATTCCATATGGGGCCGAACTTGCGCCTTATAAAGTAGCAGGCGATGCCCCGGGGTGAAATACTGCCTCGATCTATTGAGCACACCAAGCTTCTTCGAGGCTAACTTGGCCTTACCCTCTAGATGACCACGGAAGTGGACTTCGCTCGATATGTTGATCCCAATACCGGCCGAAGCTGTGAGGAGGGTGCTCTGAAATTGAGGAGATACGACCAACGGTAGTTTTTTAGTTGTGAACACGCAGACCTGTGTCTTTGTGGGGTTAAATTGGACTAAGTTAAGTCTACCCCAATCTGAGATTCTTTCTAAAGAAGTCTCGATTTCAGACACAAGCCTGTTTCGACTCTCTATGACGTTTTCCCGAGAAATGTTAGCACGACCGGCGTAAAAGGCATCGCCCGTGCTGTCATCCGCATAACAATGAATGCCACTAATTTACAACTTATCATTGACATGAAGAAGGAACAGATTGGGCGATAGTACGCAGCCTTGAGGGACACCAGCGTTCACAGGCAAGCAATCAGAGCATTCATCGTCGACCGCGACCTTTATGCTTCTGTCTGCAAGGAAGCTGGATACCCATTTACACAGTTTCTCGGGAAGCCCATAGGAAGGTAGCTAAAGCTACAGCCGATCGCTTACCATCAGGTGATCCGTCTGCTCGTTTGCCTCCTATTCCACAAAAAAAACTTTTTCCTTCTCTTTCACCAAAAATCCCTTCCTTCGAAGTAAAAAGGTGCGCGATTGGTATTCACATTTTATGGGTACGTGCAGTATCTATAAAATATTAACACCCACAAAACCATTAAAATTTTAAATGTTATGTGTAATGCTATAAGAATCGAACCATACAAACAGTTTATTTTTGAGGGGAAAAATCATATAATGTCTTTCTCGACCTAGATGGGGCGAGAAGGAGTGTCAGACTCTTACAGGCTAAAAATTATACCGTTCCTTCTCCTACTGCAGGCTGAGGCCGCTGTAAATTGGCTTGACCTCACCAAACTGAACACTACCATAGAATCCGTGATTCTGAAAACGAAACTTACATTATTGAGAACGTCATACTACAAGTAAGTTTGCTTAATAGGTATTTTCTGTTTCCAGCTTGTGGTGAAAATGAATACTTCGAAAAATGCACACATGAATGTCCACCAGAGAAGACCTGTCAAACTCGTTTGATTACAGTATATTGTCCAGCTGTTGTGATGCCTTGTATCCCGAAGTGCGTTTGTAAGCCGGGTTACTACAGGAACGGTCCAGGCGGCCCGTGCATATCAGAAGAAGAATGTGGTATGTGTAAAAATATAATAACATCAGTAATTTTTAAATATTTTTATTACAATCTTTTTTACTTTTTTATGTGATATAGGAGTAAACGAGTTGACTGATTATAATAATAATAAATAATAATAAAATGTTTATTTGTTATTAAAAGGTAGATTACAAAATGTATAATATCTTAAGTCTAAAGCAATGTACAATGTTTAACATCAACCTGAACTAAGTGCAAACCTGCTTCAGGTAATTTTTACCTGATGGTAAGCAATCTGCGCCGCCCATGGACACCCGAAACACCAGAGGAGTTACGAGCGCGTTGCCGGCATTTTAAGCGCTAGGGTTTTGAAAATACAGGGTTTGGGGAGGGATCAGAAAATTACTTTTTATAATAATGATGAGCACATGTACAGGCTAAACATATCATATTTGTTTATATACGAGTAATGTCGTGCTAAACGATAAATTTGCGCGCGCTTTACCTTTAAATGAAATAGGAAATTAAATATTCCGACCATGACAAATGGGTATATAATAAAAAATTTTTCGTTAAAAAATACCATCGGGGTCGTCGATTATATCCTTCTAAGGTCGGGAGTTCCACAAGGGCCTATCTTGGGTCCACTGCTATTTCTCATCTCAATAAATGACGATCTTTAATAATAACAACTTTCTAGTTAATCTGGAACTGTATTAATTCTAAAATTGTTGGTGTTTTCGGATTTTAGGACCAGCTTGTCGTGAAGGCGAGGAGTACAAAGAATGCAGAAATCCTTGTGTGGACGAGAGCTGCGACGCAATGGGAAGTCTAATACCAGGTTGTAAAAGTCCTGAGACCTGCGAACCAGGCTGTGCTTGCCGAGAAGGATTCTACAAGCTGTATAACTTCTTTTGCGTTCCCAAATGCTACTGTCCTGCTTTAAAGAATACACCTGAATGTAGAAATTAAGCGATATGTGACGTGGAAGCTTTGTAACAAAATATTTACAAAACTGTTTTCTAAAACATGTGTCTATTTCATGTGTCAATATTAAAATTTGAAAGCTTGTAGCAACTTGAATTTGTATTACTTTAATGTTTGGTCTCGGAAATTCCTTTAACGTCTTGGTCTTATAGCCAAGCAATATAATTAAATTCATTGTTATATTTCTACATTATCTGTCAATTATTTACCTTTAATATGTAATTAAAATACAAACTCTGGAATCAAGCCCGGTATGTCGTGGGAGATCATAATTTTACGGTTTACTGCTCTGGTGGAAATAAATGGTAGGTACTCTCTGACTTCCAAATTAATACGGTCAGTAATATAATGGCCCCGTGAAGTGAGTCCTGGTGGCCCCGAGGTTAAGGCGCCCGCTTCTCATGCATGAGGGTGTGGGATCGAAACCGGGCAAGTAGCAATGTGACTTTTACCGAGTTATATGTACTTTCTACGATTATTTAGACACCACTGACATACGGTGAAGGGAAACATCAACATGAGGAAACCTGGACTTATAATTTCTAAGTTAGAAATCGCCAAACTGGCATTGAGCAAGCGTGGATATGCGACAGTTGACAGTGGGCACTTATAGGCTGATGATGATGACGATGATGAATATAGTGACACTGTCAGTAGTATAAGGTATTATCACAATATTTTGTACATGTATTTAGAAAGCTGCATAGAAACTGAATTTTGCTAACCATTAGCGTCAGTTGGTTCAAAATTCAGTTTCTATGCAGCTTTCTAAATGATATAAAATTACATTTTGGCTGTCAGAAACATTGTGACAGCCTTTCGTACGTACTAAAATATAATTTTAAATCATCAAACTTTTCATTTTTTTTCTCGTGATGTAAATACACGTTATGTGTAGTAAACACTTATTCTTGCTGCTATAACAACACTTATTATTACTACTTTATGTAAATGAAAATGATGTAAATAGCAATTCAAATAATCAAACGAATGGACTGATGAAACCAGCAAAAGATTTATTTATTTATCACAAAATACAACTATTATTACAGGGCAACCTAATGCAATACTGTATTGACAATTTTAATTAATCTAAACTACTCTACACACTTATCGGTTAGGAAAATTATAATACTTAATAAAATAAAAATAAAAAATTACATAAAAGTAAATTTAAGTAGAACAAGTACAGTACACGGCTCTTGTGAATTCATTCAGAGTACAGTTGAATATATCAATTTGTTCCGATTCCGACATGGCATTGAGCGTTCGCAGCGCACGCGTCAGGGGCGCCCGCTGCAAGAGATTGGTGCGCGCGTGCGGTACCGCCAGCAGCGTCGGCCGCCGCCGCCGCGCCACGTACACGTCCGGGACACACAACCGAATAAGCAGTAAAATCCCCGGATTATGTATTTTGCCACGAAGTACTTTAAATAAGTAAGTGGCGACAGCTACACCCCTCCTCACCTCAATTTTATAATACCCCACCATGCCTAATACAAAAAGAGTCGGGTACAACAGTGGATAACCTGGATAAACACCATACATTTTTGAATACAAAAATCTAGTAAATTTGTTCTATATGCGCTCGAGCATCAGTTTATATTTAACTTAATGTGGCGACCAGACAACGGCATTACACTCTAGATGGCTCTTTACAATTGCTTCATACAGTGCTCTTAGTGCGTTTAAGTTATTGAATTGGTAACCTTACCGTAATATCATCCCTAAATTTCGGTAAGATTTTTTTACAGACATTTATGATATGATTCCTAAAATTCACATCCGCATTGAAGCGCTCACCTAAATCCTTGACGTCAGAGACCCGCTGCAGCGGGCTTCCGTCCATGCAATATTGGTGATGACTCGGGTTTCGTGCTCGGCTGAATGATAATACAGAGCATTTGGCCGCATTGAAATATAATCTATTCTCTAAACTCCATTCTTTAATTCTGGTTATATCTTGCTGTAATATATGATGTGTGTGATAAAGATATCGTGACGGAGAAGAAAATGGGGATTTTTGAAGACTAGCTGCAATGCCGCAGTGTTTGATCACGGTCACAATACGTGGCGCGTGACGTAATAGATGAAATCTGGTTTACAGGAATCCCATGACGATCTTTAAGTAACTTCATGTACTAATCATCATAGCGTAACGTACTTACTGACGCATCTGCACTTTGGAATAAGCACCTACTTTCATTGTATTGTACGTTTTTTTACTGTTTAAAGTGGTATACAAAGGTATAGTTGGAATAAAGGCTTTGTAGCGTTCCGCGCGGGCTCAAAAACGATGATCTATTGACGATTACAGATGGGCCCAGCAGCGCCGATGTTTAGATAGGGTTGCAGTTGAAGCGTAATAAGATAACGCTCTGTCGGCTTAAAGCAGGAGAAAGAAGTGTGGGAGAGCAGCTTTAGCACGAGTGGGTCGGCTCGACGGGAGTAATACCACGGCCTCACAGAAAGATGGCGTGAAACAACCACAGCATTGTTTTCTTGTAACTCCTCTGTTGTTGCGGGTGCCTATGGGTGGCGCTGATTGCTTACCATCAGGTTATCCGTCCGCCCGTTTGCCGACTTATCACATAAAAAAGGAACTGAGGGGTTTAGTCAGTTAGAGTCTGATACTTCCTTTCACTACGCGAGAGAAGTCATGTGATGATTTACCTCAAGAAAAGTTCCTCTCCATTCAGAAGTTTGTTTCTTTCCTGTATCTACTCTCTGTTGAGTCTTTTTTTTTTTTTTTTTTTTTTGTGAGGGGAAAATTATCAAATGACTTCTCCCGCCCAGGGCCGGGCAGGAGGGAGTGTCAGACTCTTACTGACTAAAAACCCCCCTGTTCCTTCTCCTGCTCTGTGCCGAGGTCGCGGTACCTGATTGCGCTTACCCCGCAACCCCGGCTGAACATCAGCCCTTTAGGGCCCCGTCTGTGGTGGTCTATTGGCTCTTTGAGGCGCGCGCGGAACGCTACGCGCCGTACGCTCGGGCCTGGTTCTGGTCGGGCGGCGAGCTGCCCTTACTCGCCGACCGCAGGCCCGTACTTACGGTGGCCGGAGATCGTTCCTCGATCCCCGACGCCCGTAGTGTCGCCAGTTGCGGCTGCTGGGGCGTGAGGAGGAGGATTGCTCCCTCACGCGGGCCGCCTCTCTCTTTGCGAGCATGACTGCTTCACAAAAGGAGGAGACGGCGTCCCAGTTCCTCTCACTTCGCACCATGGCCTCGACTAAGGCCGGGCGCGAGAGTTCGCCGCCGCCGATCACTTCCCTGAGGATACGGCGGTGCTCAGCCCAGGCAGGGCATACCGCTACCGTATGCTCCACCGTATCCTCTAGGTGGTCCTCACAATGACGACACTCGGGCGTTTCCTCCCGCTGAATCCGAAACAGGAACCTACCGAAGCTGCCGTGCCCGGTAAGCACCTGCGTCAGGCGGAAGGTGAGGACGCCGTGGCGTCTCTCAAGCCACTCCTCAAAGAGGGGTCTTACCGCTGCTATGGTAGCGTGCCCGGCCCTCGGTTGCGACAGTCGTTGTTTCCACTCTGCCATGAGATCTCGCCGGAGCTCATTCCGCCACGCACTAATTTGGCGCGGCAGAGGATCTTCGCCCCGGCGACGCGCGTCTGCGCGCAAACTGTAGACGCGCGCGAGCGCCTTCGCTTTTAGATCCCACGGCGGTGATCCGGCAAGGAGGTTCGCCGCCTCCCCGGAGATCGTGCGATACCCGCGGATTACTCGAATAGCCATGACCCTCTGGGACGCGACCAGCGTACGAGCCGGCCGCCGCTTCAAGGCCGGCGCCCACACAGGGGCACCGTAGAGGGCCATGGATCGCACAATCCCCATATACAACCTCCGGCAGGAGGCGTTTGGCCCCCCGAGGTTGGGAAGGAGCCGCTTGAGCGCGGCCCCAGACCGTTCTAGCTTAGGGGCTAAACGACGAAAATGCTCCGTGAAGTTCCATCGGCTGTCGAGGACGAGACCCAGGTACTTCATCGCCGACTCGACGCCGATGGTAACTCCTCCTGCCGTTATTTGGGACCCACCTG